GTAATTGGTAGTGATGGAAAGGAAATACAGTACAAAAAAGTACATATCCGTTTTCTAGAATCTGCTTTGTTATTTTTTGAAATGGACTGTGTGTGGTAGTGACTTTTTTAAGATTACTGTGTTCTTATCAATTTAAAATGTAGGGTGGTGGTTTTTTAATCTTGAAAAGTTCAAATGTATTCCCAGATCACTTAATCAGCCCTTTATTTGAAGGGTAACTGCAAGACATAAAAGAAGCTCATGAAGGGCAGAGAACTTATGTTCTCTCTCCCTTTCTGGAATAAGAGACAAACGGCTGGCAAAGTCAATTTATCATCTGTCACTAGCTGACCTTATCAATTATGAGAATTTAGAAGCATAGCTTGCTGAAGCTTTTTTCTTTAAACGGGAACATATAACATTGTTTTAGGATGAAATCCATAAAATGGAGGTGATGAGCCCTGGAGGTGATGAGCCCTGGAGTCGTTATCAGGCCACTTTGATGCAAGCAACATCTCTTTGTAGGTGTTGGTTTCTGCCTCTTCATATATTTCTATCGTGTCTCCTTCTTCCCTTTCTTAAGAAGATTCACCTTCAGTGGTAACAGAGGAGAACCATGTCCCAGAAGTTACTTTTTTGCTCTGCTTCTGGTTGCCTATCCTTTTTCACGGGACTTAGTCTAGTACCTCATGGTTAAGAGTGCAGCTGCCACTTTCAATGATCAACTTGCTGCAGAAATACTTCTTCCATCTCGCTTCAGATGTGTCTTTGTCCTTCTCGGTTTACACCTGCCCAGGCCAAGTGAGAGTCAGTCCTGCTTCAGTAACAGTTTAACTAGACACAAAAATGTCTTGTCTTTGAAGTTCAACATTGGGCACTTCTGTGGGGCTGGGAATAGGGTTTTTCCAGCTCCCAGCGGGATGCGCAGCAGTCACTGCGGTTCCTGGGCAGGCCTGAGATACTGTTCTTTAAAGCTATGATATTTTTATGTTAGATCACTTTTTTCATAGTTTTATATAGTTTTTATAGGTTTTTACTGTTCCCTCTGACTCCTTCCAGGCTCATGGTGACTTGGAAACCTGGCTTTACAAGCAAAAGCCTACTAAAAATGTCAAAGCACACAGAAATGTTTCTCCTATTTTCTTTCAGTTTGAATGCTCCTGTTTCCTCTGCCTACCCTTCCTCTTCCCTGCCACATTCTCCCCAGGAAGCCTCCATGTACGTATGTTGGGAGGGATAAACGTACACGCTGGGGCTGAGAGTGAGCTCAGGCCTCAACTGTAAAAACGTTTTGTGCTGAGGAATTTCTGAGCGCCTTTTCCTCAAAGAGCTCTCACTTGCGTGAAGTACTGTTTTGACAGGAGAAAGGCCCTCGTGGACCTGCATTTTGTTCTTGGCTCAATAAAACCGCATGCCGCAGCTCTGTGGTGTTACACCCCATCGAAGACTGCTTTCAGGCATCCTGAAATGCGAGCTAAGCAATATGAATTTGCACCGCTGCTAATGGAGTGGTAGTGGCAAGAGAGGCACCTGAGCAGCTCCTAGGAGCTCCCAAAGCTTGTGCAGCCCTAGAGGACAGGGAAGGGTCCTGGACCCACAGCAAAGCTGCAGGGTGATGTCTCGTGGCAGGCAGTGGTCTCAGGACCCCTGGCTGAAGGGGTGTGTAAAAATCTAAAGAGTTAGAGACAGTTAAGGAATCGAAGACTCGCTATTTCCTGATGCTCTCAAGCTTGGATTTTTATATTGCTTCTAAATGTATAAGGTATACACAGAAGGCCTGTCTGCGTAAGAATGCCTGCATATATATGAAAAGTGACTGTGAAATCCTAATGTACTAATTGTATCCACAGGGAGAAACCATGAGTTGTGATAAATAACACGAGTCATTAATTTGTTGCAGAATTCAGTATTATTTTTATTGTGACATTTCAGTACTGAACTCTAATTTACTAATCACTTTTTTCCTTCCCCAGCCTTTAATACTGGTCAAAAATGTTCTTATGCAAGCTTACTTTGCGTGTGCAAGTCTTCATACGCACAAAATATTTTCCTTCTGTGCCTGACGTTAATGATATGTTGTTACCTCAAACATGATTGACAACCTTCTCTAAGTGCTAGAAGTCAGAAGATAGTTTTTAAGTCATAAACCATGCTTTTACCAATAAAAATTCTTCTTTCCAAGAAGAATGTATTTGTGAGGAAGAGAATAATAATATAATCTTACATCTGTTTGTTTTTTGCAAGGCTCTTTACTTGTATTAATACATTTGTATGCATTGGAAAAAAACAGATCGTCCATAAAAAGACAATTACAGAACACAAACCAAGCGTTCAAAACAGTTTTCTGAGATATCTTAAAGGAAGCAACACACTGAAAACAAAATATTGTGTTGTCCTTTTTTCCATAACTCCCTATAAATCATTCCATAAAAGTAGCCATTGTAGCTTTATTGATCTAAATTCAATCTGAGTTGTATTGTGATTAATTTTAAAAACTGTTATTAAGTACCCTTCACCGTATGCATTTTCTCCATCTCAAGCAAATATTATTTTAACAGGGCTGGTATCTCTTCTCTTTGCAGTTATTCATGCATCTTTGCTTTCCAGCAGGAACATCTAGCTGACCAGAAAACAGGCAAATTCTTAAAAATTTGAGTAGATGGTTGCAATAGCATATTAGGCAGTTTATTTCGTAGTCTAGATACCAAATCTGCCAGACTGACAAAATGGCAGGAATATCTCAGATACTTTGGATGATGGATAATAAGTTTCATGGATGTCTGTGGATTTATTCTCATTCTGTATAATTCTACGTACATTTGCCCTTTTCCTTAACAAGTCTCAGAATGAGTTGGCTGCTAAGATATGGCGTTGGCTATAGCAGAGCAATATAGAGCCAATATTTTGGCCAGTATTTGTGCTGCAGTCGGGGTCAGAAGTCCCAGGGACCTCAGCCTGGCCTGAACTCAACGGTTTTAAGCAGGTAGAAAACACTAATAAGTCCCCAAGGAAACAAAAAAACCTCAGAGGGCAGGAGAGTGCTGTTGAGGAGGGCTGTCAGAGTGGCAGCACATGCGGTAGGGTCACGGATGGCAGAACCAGAGTGGTTACGTCCATGGTTGTCTCTGTCACCTCTTGGATCAAGGTCCCTGCTCTGGGAAGAATAAGCCTGTTGGTCCTACCTGTAAACTCTTTTGCTCTTGATGTTTCTTCTGTTTGCCTTGTAACACTTCTGTAAGCTAAAAGAGTTGCTGCTCTTCCCTTCTGCCATGCCGCTGCTCGTCTGGGAAGAGAGGCCTGAAGACCTTTCTTTGCTGCCACACCGAAGTTCCTGGAGAAGATTCAAGAGCCAGCAGAAGTATTGCCACATCCATCCCATACTACAAGATATGGGCTACGCTGCCCTTTCCTTTAAGGGCTGACAACTGGCACTGCAAGCTTGCTTCAGGGTCGCAACTTCCTTCAGAAAATGTTCTAAATGTCACAACTGGAAAGAAAAAATACAAGCTGTAAAGCAAGCGCACCCTGAAAAGTCAAAAAATGGTGGGATACGGAGAGCCCCAAATGGTGGTGGTCTGGAAAGCAATCCATCCAATGATCAAATGGCTCTTGTTCACAATTTCTGACCACATGGCAGGGCTGGCAGTAATACCCTGGGCAGTGGTGCCTCCTTGTAGTGTTAAACCTGCCCCAGGGGGCAGCAGGAGAAAGGAACGGTATAAGCCACCCGCATGCATGGATTCCTGTTCTCCATCCCCAAAGAAATGGGGAAGAAAGTTTGAGATCCAACCAGCAGAGCAAATTTGTGTTCCTGTTTCATGCTGTCCATCCTGATATGTTCAATTATTTCATGCTGTAAGAGCTGGACGGCGAATTTGCAGCTCCTCGTAGCACTAGAGCGTTGCGCTTCTGTTTCATTCGTGATGGCTCTGGGAAAGGATGGTAACAGATACAGGTTTGGGTAGGGACTCTTGAGATACACCCCTTAATGCAGACAGTCTTTCTGTAGACACAGTGGAAATGTAAAAAATCCAAGGACTTTTTTCATTAGCAGAAAACCTTTGCTATTCCAACTAGTCAACATTTGTCCTATTGTCTTGAACTGCTTCATGCAGCCCTGATTATAAGTTGGATTTCACTGTACTTTGCCAGTGAAATTCTGTGAAGAGTTTTATTTAGCATGCTTCACACGTGGAGCTAATTGAAGAAAAATCATTCTTCAAACTCATCAACTGTGGTTTTTAAATGCATCCTTCTGGGTTTTCATAAAAGTAAAGCATTTTAGAGCTGCAGAAGTCTGAATGCTCGTGGAATACCAAGAGAAGCTCCTTTGTATACTGGTCCATGCCATAGGACTTTATTTCAAATTATAGTTAAGAAAACTAAGCAGAGGCCAAATGCCAAAACCTTGGTAATAACTTACATTTTCCCTATCTGTAATCAAAAATAGAAGTAAAGCCAGAGCAGATGTGAAGTAGTAACAGCACAAATCAAAGCAGGTTGATTTGAAGTTGGTTTCTTTAATAAAATGCCTTTTCCCCTCCTCTTCCTTGTCTCCTATCTCGATTTTCTGACATAACTGATAAGCGCGTTCAGCTCTTTCTCCTCAGCTCTAGAGGTTACAGTGCATTTTATAAGAATTGGCATAGATAAAGGAAACTGTAACCCACCCAGAAGTTAGTATTTTATACATCTCAGGTTAGCAGGTAGATATTACTAAATTTCCCCATAAATTAGGTAGCTGGAGATTGCTATCTTTTTATGTGCAAAGAGCACCTTTTTAACAACCAGCAGAAAAGCCCGTATTGTCAGACGAGTTACTCTGCCTTACTCTTAAATTGCTGCTCATTTTCTCCTGCGTGTTGATTTATGAACTTTAGAACTTGCTGTTCAAAATTCAAGCTGTGTTCCCAAGCTGCGATGCTATCATAACCGCTGAAAACGTAGCCTTCCCTCGCGTGGTGCTTAAAATATGTTTTCCAGAGTAATAAGGCCTCTTTCCTGTCTTTTGTTACCTGCAGGATTTTGGAGAAGACGATTCCCTCTACATCACCAAGGTAACAACTATTCACATGGGCAATTACACCTGTCATGCCTACGGCTATGAAGAGCTGTATCAGACCCACATCCTTCAGGTGAATGGTTAGTAAATGGCATGTGTGACAATCCACTGCAAATGTGCCCGCAAGCAGAGTTGCATGTTAATCCCCAGCTCGCAAAGAAACCAGTAGCCCCACGCCAATTTTCTTTTTTGCGCCAGAGCGAGTGCAGCTAGCAGTTGCCTCCCTTGTGCTATCGCACAGGCAATCAAAAAGAAAGGTAGCATATATAGGAGGCGTAGATATCACTTCCTAGGCCTGAGCAGATAGGCTAACTATAAAACAAGCAGCCGGTGACATTTCCACGGAGTGAAGGAGTGTTTCAGAGCATCTCTTAGGCTAACGGTGAGCTTTACCGACAGAAGCGTTGCTTCAATAATTTAATCTTTCAGCAAATTAAGAGCATCGCATGGGACGTATTCCAGCGTCCTCATTCAGCTGGGGAGGGACCAAACCTGTGGGTTGTGACTGGTTTTCCCAGTGGGTATCCGGCATCATCAATCCCTGCTGCCCAAAGCGGGTGCGAAACGCCCCTGAGCTGGCGTAGTCTCACTTGTCTTGGCATGGCTGAAAATGTCGACTCGAGGGAGAAGTCAGTGGAGAATCCAGCTCCCGGGGGTGTTTTCTGAGTAATTGTCCAGCTGTAAAGCCAGGTTTGCATAAATCCAACCCCTCGTTCACTTCAGGTGCGCGATTAGAAAAATAACTTCAAGTACTTTTTCAAATCTGTGCTGTTATCTGTCTGGTTTTGTGCGTGCGGGCTTTGCTCCCCGCGCAGCTCCGTAGCAAGGGCAGCCCGGCACCCTCCGGCTCACTCATCGCTGAAGCCTTCGTGTGGATCCCGGGGCTTAATGTGACCCGGAAGGGCAGGGATGCCTTCCGAAAAGGAGGCAACGTAACCCGTTGCCCTTTAGGAATAGGTATTACTCTATGCCGATATGAAAGCATTTAGTTTTCCAGGAGACGTCATTAACTTTGTTACAGGAGGTCTATTAAGGCAAATTATCATTTAGTTATTTCTGTAGATGTAGACAGACCTCTGCAAAGGAGAGCTGCAAAGGAGAGCTGGTAAGAGTGGATAACCACATGCGGATTAATAGGGAAAGGCTGACAGGAAGAGGGACGTAAAGGGATGTTTCCGCACTTTAATAAGCGCCGTGGTGGAAGTGGGGTTTGATGTGACTGGAGCTCAGGTCTTCAGGATCTGTGTAAGTGCTCCCCACCCCTGGCAACTACCTGGAGGAGAGCACAGAGCATCCGGCTGATTTGAATGAGAACTGGCTTAATGTTTCTGCATAGTAATTTGTCATCTTTTGAGATAGTAAACTGCAAAGTCTCAGCAATATGGGTAACTAGATTGCACACGCCGCAGCTGGGAAAATAGGTTTCCTTCCTCAAAGTGCTCTTTGTTTGATGAATGGCAGTTGAAGGAAAAGCAAGTTAACAACTTAATCCCATGTATATTATGTGATATATTAGGAGGCCCGAACGGAGTTTAGTTGGCAGGCGACAGCGTAAACTTTAGCGCTGTGAATTTAAGGCCCAAAGGCTTGGAAACTAAAACCAGAGCACCGAGGAAGCTAAACGGAGAGTGGAGAGGGGCTCGTCGCATCGCATCACATCACGTCGCCGAACGGTCCGCTCTTCTGCCCGCCTCGCTCCCGGCCGGCAGCCCGCGCTGGGCGGCAGAAGAGCGCAGACAGCGGCTC